GAACAGTGGACATATCCGTCTCTGGAGAAGAAGCACCAATCAAAAAGCGCCTTAAAGTATGCCAGTTGTGCCAGTTTCCCAGGAAAGAGACTTCGACCCTGGCGAGCCGGATTGCCCTCGCGTGTATCCACGAGAATCATATCAACAGCCCGACCGGCGAAGTGAAATTCTTCCATCATGAGATGCTTCTCTGAGCCTAGACGCTCACTGGTGTAGCCGCCAACCCATCTACCTCTATCGATCTTGTGAGACCAGGAGAGTGGGGCCGCGGGGTCATCGCGCCAGCGGGCTTGATTCATTCTGAAGGTGGCGGATTGCGGATCCATTATGCGGCCACTTCCTTGGCCATAGGATGACCGGCGAGAATAAATGTCTCGAGTACGCGGATAGCTGCTATAGCCACCATCAAAGTCACGGTGTTGCTGTTGCTGCTGTAAGACCTGGTCCTGACTGCCAGTGTACGGATCCACGGAGGAGAAGTTGGTTCGAGGTCGGTGCATTGTCACATCAGCGCCAGAACGTGCTGCTGCTAGTGCGCTCTTACCGATGTCAATTTCGCCCACACCAGCCCCATTGTCAGCATTCGGCCGATAACCGCTGAGTCGCTTTCGTTGACTTTGGAATGCCCCATTCGGGTACCCTTCAGTCTACAAAATGATAACATTTTTAGTAATAATTAACTACAGAAATTCGTGCTTAGGATTAGGAAATCGTGAGAGCATCAAGATCTCGATGGACCGATTTTTCAGTTTTTAGATGCATAAACAGACTATAAATGCTGAAAATTGAGAATTCGCTTGATAAAACAGTTCGAAAAATAGTCGGTTACGCAGAGCCTGAATGTGACCGAATTCTAAACTATTTAAGTTTGATTTAAATCTGTCAAAACACATTTCAGCTCAGGTTATTGAACGCTTTTCAGTGCATGCCATATGGGTTGAACTGCCTCTAAAATTTTCATATTATATTTGGAAAGTCTTGCGATTAAGATTGGATTCGAGTTAGATTGATCGGAATCTCCTTCATATATGAAAAACTGTAGGAAATAAGAAAACGTGGGACGTCGGACGCAATCGAGCTTTCTTGTTGACTGTACTGCGTATGAGCTCTAGTGGGCTCACCTGCCACCTAGCCCTCAAATTAAGCCTCTTATTCGATACTTGTGGCTTTTGCTCTACATTTCAATGCAGACTTCACGTATGCCAAAGAAAAGAATTAGTATTCCTTATTTCTTCGGAAAATGGTATATTTTGTAATATTTCAATGTTTAAACTAATTCCCGACCGTGAGGAGTTTCCCAATGTCCCTCTGATGATTTAAACTATTAAGAACTATACCGGATTGCAGGCGCCGTAAAAATGTTATTGGTTTTAAACACTCTTGGGTCTTTCGGCGCTTTTTTGGTAATTCTCCTTGTGAAAATGCGATCCTATGCAGTACTGCAACATACAACTCAGAAACCTAAAGCACGTCCTCCTTATCTACTCACCTGGTATTAACAGCAACATTCAATACGCTGAATTTGATGACCATACCATATTTTTCAATTTCCAAGCAACGTTAAGTGTGCCGAAACTGCCACAAGCCAGTTGATGATAGCACAACTTGTTTAAACTTGATGCCACATGTTTCAGTTTGCTAAAAACTCCCTTTGGATAGGTTAAAGCTAATCCAAAGGCTACTGACAAAAATCTACGAGCCGAACTGTCCGAGCTCTCGACATTTTGTGCCAATTCACTCCGGTCACGACACCGTCCCAAGTTCTACGACCCTTAACGAAATCCGGTCCGGCCGGCCACATAAAGGCCTTCGAAGTAATGCGTGGAAATGGACTGAAAGAGATTATAAAGAACTCGGCTACTGAGAAGTTTTTTCACTCATAGTAGGGGTGTGCAGGATGACATATATGACAGAATCATTGGCAGTAAATCCACATCAGATGCATTTGTCGTGGCAAACGAGTAAACGAGGGTGGTGTGCTCGCTCTTAAGTGCATTTTACTAGACGTTCGCGGAGATGAACTCATTAACATCGAAATTATCTATAGAATCAACAGAGAGCTTTTCGACGAACAAAAACTGTTCGACTCCCCCCAGGCTTCAAATACAGGCATAAGCAATCCAGCGGATCCCAACTACTACAGAATCGGACATGCAGTGCTATCTCGAGGTATTATCCTCCGGGTAAAACCAGTTTGGGCTTGCTGTCCAGAAAAAAGGAGTAGTACTTACGCACTGACCGGTACCAGCAGCAGTCCCCACTAACCCATTATCATTATTACCCATCATCGCCCAGGTGCCGCTGCAGAAGATTATATTTTATTTAGGTACAACGACGTTACCGATAGAGATAAGGGATACTGACAATGTAATTCTGCCTACATTACGCGCAGCTGTGCGGCTGCTGGCGAGACCCGAGAGAAAGAGAGAGAGAGAGAGTCCCAAGGCGTAACGTGACGAGTGAGTTGCGTAACGCAATCGGTGAGCGTCCCTCCACCATTATATTTCACTTGACAGGCAGCATCTCAGGATAGATCTATCCTCATGAGAAGTGCATCAAGGATTTTAAAAGTCAAACAAACATTCGGTAGATCCCTATTGCAGCTGGGAATCTTCCATAGTAACGTCAATAAAGGTACTCGCAGTCAACAAGGACGAAAAACAACACTACCGGACTCATTGATGAGTCTATTAACATTTCTCAGTGTGAACTGAAATTACTGGGACATTTTAAGATTCCATTTCTTAGCGGTCGGACACCTCCATATTCAAGACAACATCTGCGCCGACGTGACTCAGGGAGCCGAAGCCAGCATTCCCGACGCAGTTTTAACTTTTCTTCACACTGTGATCCCACACCGCAGTGACACAGGGGCAGGACAGGGCACCTATGTAGCTACCGAACGACAGGTTAAGAAGCTTGACCGGCAACTGTTAGGTTCACATAACTTGCCACGATGTCCACACGCACTTAGGAAATTCCTCTGCCTATTCCTGCGTGTGGACGTTCGATATAAAGATAACTAAAACATCACTCATCAGCCGGAGGAAATTCATAAGTTGGGAGAAGTGACCATTGCCGTGTGTGATGGGTGAACTGTAGGTCCAAGAAGTTATGAATTGTAGGGGCATGGACGGCTTGCTTTGGCTTTGCATGCAGAGGTCCCAAGGATTATGGAATTTGAGACTAAATGTCCATTGCCGAAAAGGACACTTGTTTATGTGCGCGGGGCTCTAGCCAAAGTCTGCAATAAATGATCCATCATTATAAAAACGCGATTATAAGAGCTTGTTCGTTATCGCGAAGGATGTGTGGGATATTTAAATTAACATTTTATCAGAGCTTGCGAAGTGTTTTGGAATTTGGCACTAGTTTGATTGGAAATGATTACACCTGTCAAAAGCGTCTTTTGGTAGACGACAGAGTCTTTATTCATATTTTATTATACGACAAACCTGCGACTTTGTAAGTATAACAAATAGCGATTTACGAATATAAAGAAAGGTAGGAGTTATATGGCGACGTAAGTGATATCCTACGCTCATTTGTTGGGTCTCAATCAGTTTTCCAGCTTCACGAGTGACCTAATCACAGGAAAAATAATTTCACGGCATGTACTTTGCTCGGCTGAGCTACAGGCAAGTGACGGCGAAAGTATACGCAAAACAGCCCTCTTATTCCGATGCGCAGATGGGATTCTGTTTCTATATATAAAACGGCCTTCAGCTTTCGTAATTCCTTCCTGAATGTCAAAGTTCATTTACTACCCAAAAAATATACTTCTGCCGAAACTTTTCCCGCAATTGAAGAACTCGTAAACGCGACAGCCTCGAAATTATCAGGACATTTGGATCCATTCTGTGTGATTAAGATATCGCTTTTCACTCTAAATTCTTCTTCCGACCGGTTTTTGGCTACTGCTGGGATAGTGCCATTTTCGCTCACCCAGTACTGACGGGGAGGATTTGAAATATTTCTTTTGTGGACTAATTTGCATTTGAATGATTTCAGACTTTACAAAGCCTTCTTGTCATTTTGTGACTTTAAATGAACACTGAGTCATTTATTCGGCTGCTTTCCTATCTGATATGAAGAGATCCATCCCGCAACATTTCGGCTGACTTCCTTTTCATGTTCAGCTAGCCGGATAAGAGTTTTCAAAGGTATTCGTGCCATCTGGCTGCGCGAGACATAAAGTGGTTAAATTATTATAAATCCTTTGGATTGAAAAGCGTGTCGTTTATCCGCAAATGTGACGCATTTCACCAAAACGACATAGCTGCAGTAGATGGGGACAAAATTCAAGTGCTTACTTCATTTGTTCCTTCAGGCTGAAAAGGCTTCAGAGGAGTTTGAAGCTTTCAGGTAAAATTTAGTCTGCAATTTCTGTTGTTCGCGCAAACCCTCGTATAAGCAACCCAACAAAATTATAAGCTAAGAGTGGGAGAGAGCAGAGCATGACTATTCGAGGCCTTGAGATTCTAATATTTTGCGGCCCAAGGTTGAAAATCTCCCATGCACCTCAAGCACCTGATATCATGGGAATGATAGGAGTTTTGAAAAATGAAATGTATCGCGCCAGCCTGCTTTCAGCCTATCCGACGCGTATCCAGACTGAGGACGGGTGAACAGCCCTCAGCGAAGGCAAGCTGTGAAATAAGCGGACTCTCCTGTCTGACTAGTAGGCAGTCCTGGAGCATGCAATGGTCATGCTGTCATGCACTAAAGTGCACAAATCTGGCAAATCGGTTATCTACAAGAACTTCATGAGCAATAGCAGTACCACTAGGTGGTGAACGTTGCTTACCACCCAATGATGCCTCTGTCGCCGTCCAACACAGTAGTGGAATGTTTCGCTAGCTTACTGGAGGGTTCTATGTAGATGTCTACCGTCAGGTCCAGAGAGTAAAGGAAATCATGCCTCAAGCGAACTGTGTCATGCGACCTCTACGTGGCAGATCACGGCTTAACGCAGTTTTTAGGATGATCAGAAGGCTATGGTCCGCAGGCTCTAAATGGATTTGCCTAGGGCAATGACGTCGAGCCGAGTAATTTCCCATGCAGTAATGTAACCTGTTACTGGAGATTAAAAACCTAGGTTTTGGTAGCCCAGAACAAGCACAAAGTATCAATAGTAATGAAACTGCGATTCCCAGGTGGCATATCAAAAGAAGAGGGGGCATTCACCGGGAGGATTTTATTTGAGGTCCGACGTTTCGAGTAGTTTATTCGTCTACCCATCTTCAGAGACTGGGAAGTCCTGTGCACGGATAGGTACGATGTTACATAAGTAGACATTGCACGGTCTTAGAAAAACTCATTATTAGAAACTTTTTAAAAACTAATTATACTCCTCCTTTGAGTATAAAATGTAAAGATGACGTGATTCTCTATCAAACGACTGAAAAAAAGCACATTTTGTT